GGGGGGATTGGGACTTCTACGAAGTAGAAACACTTGTTAATTTCACATCATCTCCATGAAGTTAGATACATGTATCTTTCAACCAATGGAGATATTCCTCCCATCCATGATGGTATATGATATTTGGGCTTTCTTGGAATTTCATTACCGGATTTGTTTTGAACTTTACTAGGTTTTATTTATGTTTTGTTTATATATATATGTATGTACGTATTCGAATCAGATTCTTTAATCTTGGCTGTCGACTCGCAAGAATAAATTCGTAATCATGCGGTAACGGTTGTGTTGACAATTGAGTCGATATTGCAACATATAAGATGGCGAGAAGTGTTTGTGTGTGATATTTCATAATATTATTGAAAATTGGACAGACTCGTGATTTTTTATTTGCATTTTATAATAATTTGTACGGAACCGCTCGTCTATGCCATAATCGTACATAGAGAGGGAAATAAATACTTGCTTCTGCAGAAACCTTCCAATAGATCAGTTTTGGATTGCCTATCCACATGACGTTCTTTTCTTTAGTACACTTCAAAAATTTCAACCATGGGGGGACTTGACTTCTTGTGCATGATGCCACCAAGGCCAATAACCCTAATCAGTCAGCTTCAGCTATTCTCTCAAACTTCATTCTGCTCTCATCCACAACTTCCGTGCGTTTTCCCTTCTTTAGAGCTTTACTCGGATTTTCAAACAAGCTCTGTTCGTCCATATACTTGGCCGCTGAACGCTTCCTCTTCTTTTCCATGCTCTCGTCATCCTCGGCCCATTCCAGCAGCTGAACCAAAAATATTATTCCACAGGGCTCAGGCCATATATAGACAAATGGCATTCAAAGGAAACAGAGAGATGTAATTTACCAAGTGTCGGCCGTAGAGATGGGTGTTGGAGAGTGCTTTCATGGCGTTTAAAGCTTCTTGCTTTGTCATGAATTCAACAAAGGCATACCCTCTGTGTTCACGGTCTCCCAATTTCGATGGAAGCCTTAGACTCTTGATCTGCACAGACAAGGACAGTGAGGTTTGCTCTTGACATGTAAAATATTATAACATGTCCTTTTTCATCCATCACAGTACTGTTATATGAGATCGCTGCTCGGTATTCACTTCTAGGACACAGATGACAGACCCAACGAGCTGTTGAAGCTTCAGGACACAAGACAACATAAGCGGAAGAGAAGTGCTCACCTGTCCGAATGGACTGAAAAGCTGTCTTAGATCTTTCTTGGTTGCCTCGAAAGCAACATTTTTCACATGCAACTTGGTAGACTGTTTGTCCTTGTCTGCTTTGCCAACTGAATCACTCCTCTTGGTTTGGCAGAATCGCAAGATCAAAGCATGCCCATCTAAAACAGTACCCTGAACAACAAAAGAAAGAAAGTGTTGAAGCATTTGACCGAGCCTTATCGATTTTAAATTCCTAAGAAAGCAACCAGTATATACCTGTAGATCTCTGTAGGCATTGGTCGCTGTGTCCACAGAGTCAAACTCTACAAAACCGTAACCACTTGAGAGATTCTTTCCGTTCTTTATATGCATCTTTATCTGCTCAAGGCAAAAAAAAAAAATCACCATAAAGTTACAACAGACACATGGTCAAGTGGATATTATGTTTATTTTTCAAAGAAGAACTTACCCTGACACTCAGAATCTGTCCCTGCTTCACCAGTTCGGAGAGATGCTTCTTCAAAGTTTCATCAGAAGTCTTGAAGTTCAGATTCTTGACGTAAAGCATCCTTGACTGAAGCATAATGCATAAAATTTAAGGGTTCGTTAAACAAAGAGTAATTCAAAAGTGCAACGAGAGGAAAACAGGCAGAAAAATATCACGTGTCTATTATTGACAGAGCTCAATATAATAAATCCACACATAGAATGGAGCATTTTTATACCTAATCCAATCCTTACAATGACAAAAAAAAAAGCCTGCTGTATAGAATTCTAAAAGTTTAGTTCAGTTTTGTGGTAATACTACGAAAATCTGTCTGAGGAAATGGATGCAAGGTGTATCTAAGCGTAACGAGTATTATTTTAGTTGGGGCTTGGGGTAGCTAATCAAATTTTCTAAACTGATCCGTTTAATGAAAAACATTTTCTAATAATGCAGAAATTTTCAGGATAGTTGTATGTCAAATGCACTAGAAGAGATGGACAGATTCATACAGATCACAGCCACTATGTGGTTATTCAATTCAGAAAAACTAAAGTGTGCACAGACCTCGTTTCTATCAGGATCGATCTCCTCATTTGTTATTCCTTCAACCTGCTGCTCCAATAGCACTCTCTTAACATCATGCTCCCCAACAGCACTTTCCTTTCCATCATTATCAGGGGGTGTTTTTTGCTCAAGAATATCACCGGGAGCCCACTCCAGATACAATGGAGCATCCCTGAATAGAGAGGGAAAATATTATGATAGAAGAAGACATATTGTCTTTATCACTGAGAAGAACCAGTCCAAGTGAAAAGGAGGATCTCAGTTGCTTGTACAGAAACAAAAACAATCACTCTGATAGTTCTTTCCATCTGGGTTAAATAACATGTAACAACAACAAAAGACTGAAAATAAAGCTTACTTGTAACGCTTGTATGCTAATCCTTTAAAGGCTGCACGAGCTTCGGACGGTTCGAGGAAAACAATCTGAAAGATCATGCAGGAGTAGATTAGAAAACAATCACCTATTCGATGAGGAAATTCCAGTAGAATACACTCAGAAAAATACCAAGGCCATTGTTCTTGTGGGAGGGAGAATAACTTTATCTAGATTTCCAAATTTTCCAAACATCTGAGCAAGTTCCTTTTCAGAGGAAGCAAATGGCAAATTCTTCACTAAAAGAATATGCTTGCTTCTTTTACTGTCATCAGCTTTCCGAGAGGCAAATTCTTCCAAAACATTAACGTTTACTCCAGCCTTGGCAAGAGCTTCTTTGGTCTCTGCAATCACTTTTGTTTCTCCCAAAGCAAGACGTACCGCAGGATCATCAGATTCGCGGTCCAGCAAATCACTCTTGCTTACACCATATGCCCTAACTATGTTTTCTAGGATCTACAAAACACACATGGAAAGGAAAAAATGAAGATGAAGTGCTTAAAATGTTCCATTAAGCTTTGTTGTAAAAATATTTATAGAATGTATTAACTTCCTACTGTGAAAGCCAAGAAAACATACAGTGTCAGGACGCATGAATAAACTATTCCAAGCTTTGGTATCTCCACTGACTTCAGATGCCTTTTTTTCTTCCTCTCTCTTTTGCTTGAATGTTTTTGACTGATTGGATTCATCAGTCCTGTAGAGAAAACCATGATAAAACAGCTTACAGCAATGATATCCTAATGTTATCCTATATAATAATATAGGCTACAAAAGTACGAGGAATTTAAAGACTGAAAGTCTGGATAGAACCGCTAACACTTGCTTGTCAGAAGTTTCCCGTTGCTTGGCTGGTAAAATATGCAACAAACGACCCTGAAAAATTGAATTATCCAATTCCTCTAACGCCCTGTATCACCAACCAAATAATTTAGAAAACGTGAATAAAATGACAGAATTACTAGTTAAGGAATCATAACCATACTTAACCAAAATAGCAGCTACCAAGTCAGACAAAAAATACCTTGCAGCAGATTCTGGAACTGTGTACATAATGTAGGCTATTCCCTTGGACCTTTTTGTCTCCTTGTCGAGAACAAGATGGACCTCTGATATTTCGCCATATTCGCTAAAATGTTCCTGAAGCTCATCTTCTCTGTTGCACAAAATTATATTGTTACAAGAAGAAGATGAATACAAATAAGATAGAAAACAAAATTAGAAAAAGGAGGTGAACAAAAAAAAGAAGGAAAAAAAGGAGGTGAATGAGAAGATATAGTACGTTGCGGAGTACGGCAGGTTACGAACGAAAAGACGACCAGTCTCAAGAATATTCTCTCTACCATCTTTCACATCTTGAGTAGTCTTGCCATCAGCTTCCAACTGCTCAGCATTTTCATAACCACTGCTCACAGCACCCGTACCATCATTTGTATCACCACCACCAGTATCACCATCGTCATCACTATTAAAATCACCAGCAGAATCATTGTCATCATCAGTCTTTGTTTCGCCATCCCCACTCCTAATATTATCACCATCTCCTGCTTCATGACTATCTCGATCAGTTTCACTATCACTCTCTGAATCCACCCATTTCTTCTTTATCCTACTCTTGAAATATTCCATATCGGAAACATCATCACCATGAACAGCATCTTCCTTTTTAGCCTCCATATCTGATGCTTCTTTCTCTTTGATCAGTTCCGCATTACTAGGAATTATTTGATCATTAGTTCTCTTTACAGAGACCTTGTCTTTGATCTGTTCAGTAGTGGAGGCGATCAGCATGTCATTTGACCACATTTTTGACTTCCCCCTCTGCATGACCTCGAGAAATTCTTGAAGTTGAGGATCATCAACCTCCTCTGTTTTTTTCTTATTCTTTCTCTCTCCTTTGCTAACACCAGTGCTTAAGCTCTTAGCACTGGACTTCTCAATATTTTCTTTAACTTGACCTTGTTTCTTTAAGGTATGACGACTCCATGGCCTCGGGGCATCTGGATCTCCCACTTTACGAGCAATCTACAGGTCAAAAGGAATCTGCATTAGACTCAATAGCTACAGAAGTAAATTGATAAGAAAATAAGATCTAAAAAAAGTTTTTACACAAACGCACCTCACAGAAAATTCGAGATGTGTCAAGGTAAGATTTATTGAAGTACTTGATAGCCTCTTGGGCTTCATCTTCACTACGAAACCCAATAAAAGCAAACTGTCTGGTTTTACCATCCCTGCAAAGGAGACAATAGTTACAACCTTTGTGAATTTATTCCACAGAACAGAGAGAAAGAAATATATATTACTTGCAGCGTATCACTTTAGCATCGGTTATTTCTCCTTTCTGAGAAAAGACATCACGTAGTCGGTCTTCTGTAACATGTTTGGGCAAATTCTTCACACATATCCTAGACCTGGAATCACAAGTTGAAATAGAAGACACCATTTCTATGAGAAGGAAAAAAGGAATGCATGCATAGATATATGTGATATGTAAATATGTGTTGTCACAGAAGAAGACATTAACATATACAATACTTACATTCTTTCCGGTTATCGCACACAGCTCTTTCTGGGAACTGCAGACTCCAATTACAGAGAAAGCAACACAAACCTACATCAAGAACATGGCCAAGTCAAGCGATTCAACTAAAAAGTAGAAAAATAACGAAGATACAACTTAAGCTGTTTCAACACCAACTAACACTCTGTTACATATAGAAGATAAACGAGCAAAGTTCGAATCTGTGACTGTAAAACTATAGTGCAAAAATAAATATGGGACATGATGATGGTCAGACCATCACAAGGACATGGGCAGAAGTTCGAATTTGTAAAGTCCAGATCCTCATCGCATATGGGACATGATGATGGTGTGGCCACATAACTAAAGTGACTATCCATGACTGGAAAACTACGCTGCCTCGACGGAGAACGATTTCTAGGAATAATCTCAGCCAGTTAAAACTTCGACCTTAATATGAGAAACCCTAAACAGTGGCCTTCCAAACAAGACAGCTCCAAACTATACATAAATCGAACGAGAACTAAAACAAAAACAAAATCGAAACCAAACATCAAACGAATCAGGAAAAAAATGGAAGCTTACGTGCGACAACGATCACAGAGGTCAGCGAGCCTGCGAAGATATGGAGTCGGGAGAAGAGGAATAGAACACTCGAAGAAACGTGGAGGGAGAGAACTAGACAGAGAGAAAAGCTTAGGGTTTTCGCCGGAGATATAAAGACGAGGAGAGGGAGCGGGCTTTTTATTTTTATTTCTTTCTCAAAGCCGGAGAAGTAGAAATCCCCCTTAACCGGTCGGTTATTGGATTCATTGGTACGTTTCTTCTATTTTCTTCTTTTATGGGAATATTTTTAATTATATTTTAACCCTTAATTTTTGTTTTTTTACTGTTCTTTATTTATTTTCTTTTGCTGTTCGAGGTTTTATTTATAAATTAAAAAGTAGTAACTTATTTTTAATTGATTTGCTATTTGTTGCAAGAAAATTGATATAAACTTTATTCTTATTTAACGCATTCCTTTTCCGTTTTTTGATTTTTATTTTAAAATTATATAATAATTTCACTCTCATCTGTTTTATTTTTAAAGAAACAGGACAAAGATACATTCCATATAACATCCGTGCGAATTACACTCTAATGAAACTCAAAAATGCCATTAACAAATCATGGTGTTCTCCCAACTTTTTTTCATACAATTAAAGGGAATTTAGGTTTTCTATTACAAAAATAGAGAAACAAAATTAACATTGATAATCGTGTATGGCCATATTGGCTTGAGATCTCTCTCTTTCTTCCCCTGTACGGACAGGAAAGCCAAAAAAGAGTGGTAACAATAATGCCTTTTGTACTCATTCCCACAATCAAATGTCTACCAAAAAAAAAATACAAAGAACCATTATTCTCTTAGGCGGCAATGGCAAAAACTCTTACCAATACTCTAAAAGGATTTATCAGGAAGAACAAAGATTCCAAGAGAGATTCAGATTCCCAGGAATGGATCTTCCCCAAACAACAACTGGCTGTCCTAAGACTCCTAAGGATTTTTGGGTTTCTTTCTACTACTCAACATCATTCTCATCCTTCCAAGATTTATCGACGGTTCTCCAATGGCATCTCACAACCATTTGGATTTGTCACAATCGCCAGACCAAAGACTTAACCGACCGGGTCATTCCAAGTGCCAACAGGTTGTAATGACCATATAATATTAAGACAGATCAAAGAGTAGAGAATTTGATCATTTACCTCATGAATGATTATCTTCTTGTGTGTGTGAGTGTCTTCTGTGCTCCCTCTCGGCATATCCACCATGACCCACCTTATGACTCTCTTCGATATTCTCATGGCTGTAGTTTGATTCATGTTCACGTCGACTCTTCCCTTCTGATTGCCTTTTGGAAGGACTTTCCAGTTTTCTCTTCCGGCTGTTCGTCGCAGGGGAAGCATCCCCTGCCAACTCACCTTCCTCCATGTTTGTGATTTCCCCCTTCCCACTAGCTTCATAACATTCTATATCCATGTTATCAGAGTTTTCGACCTTTGGCAAGCTCTGTCCTTTCTTTTGATTTGTTTTGTCATCCTCGACTGCCAATTCCACATTTTCCAGCTCTCTTTCAATTAGATCATCCTCGTCCATCAAATCCTTTTTCCTCTTTCTTTCCCCTTGTAACTTCTTAGCTTTCTCTAATTTAGCCTTGACCGTATCTCGCAGCAATTTCAAGTCCTTGGGTGATTGGCTTACTGGGGCATCACCTTTATCAACATTTCTAGATTTATGAAGACTGATGTCATCTCTGTGATCTCCAGATCTGTTTCCTGTATCTTCCTTCCCAGTTCGTTCAACTCTGGAAATGGATTTATGGGGAGCTTCCCTCACACTGCCCTTATAAGATGGATGAACTTCAGAATGCTGGCTATCTTTATTATCTCTCTCCCTCTCCCCTTTATGCTCGGTAATGACACTACCCGTCTCCCCACTCCCATTATCATTGTTCTGATTTTGGCTGGCTTTTGATGAACCTCCTTGATTATCCGAATTTGAATGGTCAGGAGGTTGGCGTGATAATATTTGCCTAGAACTTCCATGTCTATCCGTGGAAGCAGCATTTCCAGAAGCAGACCTATGAGCCACTCCTCCAACAACGCTACTTTCAACTTCACTTCCTTGAGATGCAGGGCTACGGTTTTGCTCATAAAGCTCAAGCATTTGGTTGCTCACGTCTGAAAATACAATAATAATAGCAGTTAAAGAACATCAGGCAGGTCAAACAGCAAGAAGGAGAACCAAACAACAAAACCTTAATGCAGTTTGGTAAAAGAAACAGAGTAATAATCCATCATCAACATTCTGATAAGGATGGTGCCCACCTTCCAACTGCCGAGGTGTGACATCAAATTCTTGCCACCAGACCTTCTCTCCATCCGATGGTAACTTCACTTTAAGGAACTTGGCAGCAAGAAAAATGGCACCCGCAGCAATGTGATGAGGCTTAAATTGCAGACAGAGTGATGTCCGTAGGCTGCAAGCCAATTTTATTTGCATGAAAAAGAAAGTACTAGGCACATAGAAATATCAGAAGCTCGGAAGGAAACGGCATTTTCAACGTACCCATCGTTAACAAAATTCCATGCAACTTGGGCAAGAGAATTCTGCGCAACCTTAAATTTCTTAATTGCTTCTACAAGGGGTTTATAAGGGTGATAAACATTAAGGTCGAAGTTTAATGTAGTAAGCACAATACTTTCTCCGATTAATATAAGCTCTTTTTGTTGCTCATATACTTCCTGTAAAAGTGAAATGTGTCAATACACGAAGAACGAGTAATACATCAATTGACTAATAGAAATAAAATTCAAGTAAACAGAAAAGTAAAGGACCCTTAGACTTAGACAACTAAGAAACATTACAGTCCATACATCAGTAGAACCTCACTTTCAAGGAGAAACAGAAGATACAGGAAAAGTGGCACATTCATTTATCAGCTGACAAAACAGGAAGCAACAGAGTAGAAGATCAGTAGTATGAATAACACCTTTTGCTTGATTCTCTGTGCTGCAGCAGGATCCTTCTTGTGAATTATCTCATAGGACACAACTATAACATCTTTTAGCGGCCGTGGATATTCCTCATCCTTTCCAGCAAGGAACATGCAGACAGTCGCGATCGTCTGGAGAGCAAAACAATAATGTGAAGGGATTCATATAAAAATCAGGTTTTCCTTTTTGCTTTAGAAGATAAATTAGCACAAACAAACACGAGCAGAATCATCAATAAAAGGTGCAGCACAAGACATCAATAAATAAGATTATCGTCATACTTCAAGTTAACTCCTCGATGTCAAATATCAGATTTCCTAGTCTTTACACTTCCTCATGGATGCCAAAGTACACAACCATAAAATTAATGGAAACCTATCACATGGTATAACAACAATCTCAAAATTTTCCAAAAAGAAGTTCATGCCCTTAAATGCCTGATAAGTTCGACATTACAGTTAAGCAAGTAACTCTGCCAAATTCAGAAACTAAATTATATCAAAGTAGTTTTTTGCTTTTTCGGAGTAGCAATGCACACAGAGATTATATAAAAATGTTCATCAACATTGCACATATTCCCAAACCAGCTACAACGAGAACTTAAATAAGAATAGATTTTTATGGTGAGTCCAGACAACAACGACTGGAATCCACATTTGCTTTAAGCATCACACATTATTTTGATATCAACTCACCCTCCTGTCATTCTTGGCATGTGATTGACGGATGAAGAATCGGTGGCAAAACATTATTGCCGTAGCTATTGCTACCTGAGGACTGCATCAGACACTATTTCAGAAACATTCTTGGACGGGACCCAAAACTGAAAGCCTCTTACAGTACAGACGAAATCCACAGCTCCATGAAAATAAATTAAAACAGCCAAGAAATGAAATAAGTACATCTACTAGGTTTCCTCTTTTTGTTGACGGGCTCTAGAGCTACTACTAAAACTGATTACACTGCCAATGCTGTAAAAGACAACCAAGAAAAACAAATTGCAGAAGTTTCAGAATTTCCAAACCTACAAAACCTATATGTAAAAGTGAGAATTTTAACCTATATGCGAAACTATCATGCCAAAAGAAACCAAGCAAGGTTAAAATTGACAAATGACCAAATCACGAAATTTAAGAAAGACAAGATGACAGCCAACAAAGAAACCGAGCAAAAAAAAGCAAGAATATAGAGCAGCAGAGAAAATGCAGGAGATAAAAGGAACTTACACTTTCAACCGCATGCCCAAGTCCTGCAAAAAGGTACAGTATGATTTGCGAAGGTATATTTCTTTCTTTAAGTCAATTCCATCCCGCCTTGATGGTGAATGTTCTTCTATTTCTTTTCTAGAAAAATACCAGCGCCCAACCTCATCATGCTTATCATGAGAATTCCTCGTAGTTCCACTCTCACAGTGTGAAGATTCCTCAGTCAACATTCCAGACATTGCTATCTTCTAAAACCAGAATATCCGGAACAAGCTAAGGCAGAATCAGAGGTACAATCCTGATTGCAGTATCACTGCGTAAACAGTGAAAACAAAACCTAGCTGCTATCTTGTCTTCGAATCAAAATTTAGCTTTGTATATTCCTAAACACCTTTAAAATGTATCAACGGAAACGACTGATAAAGAACACCAAATCCTGAAACAAATAGACCCAAATGCAGAGCGCAAAACATTAATTCCGGGTATAAAGGTGGGTAATTTCACCAGAAACGCCAAGAAAATCACAAAACCGATAAGAATCGACACAGGAAAACAAGATTCCAAAGAACCAAATAAGACCAAACCCTAATAGAATGAAAATAGAACAGATTGACATTTACCTACAAAACTCAGCCTTCACCTTCCAACGTTCATTACACAACCACTGCGAGCAAGGAACCGGAAAAGTTTCACAAACGTGAGAAAACATGGATCAAGGAGTACGAACAAAAAAACGTAAGAAGCGTAGAAAAACCAACGAATGTGAGAAGAATCAGAATGGAGCGGAACAAAAAAACCAAAAAACAAAAGGAAGAGACTGAAACTTACATCCGAGAAACGAGCTCCCCGGTGGCTAATTGCGAAGGAGATGCTCGCAGCAAAACCTAACCCTAACCCTAGAGTCGTCGCGAGAAATCAAAGAATTGGGAGAGAAGGAAACAAGGGTACGATACCGAAATTGGATCAGTCCTGTTATTTAATGGATATTTTCTTTGGGGGGACAAAATGGAAACTTTCCGGATTAGAGGATCGAAAAGGCAAATAGTACTTTTGGAGAAGACGTCATAATTTTTTAAAAACATTTTTACGGCGGTGAAAATATTTTTGCCATTTTTGTGTAGACTTGTCACTAAATCTTTGTTTTATTTAATTTCCTCTACGTAACTCCATCCAAAATTTAAAATTAAAGTCTAGAACCATAAAAGAATCTAAAAGAAATCAGTGTCCAGTGTTCACCATAAATTTCCTCGTTTTTTTCCCTCACTCAGTTAAAATCCAATTGAATTATACAGAAAATATCAAAAAAAATTATATAAGATATACGTATATTATGTATGCCATTCAAGAAGATTCCAAGTCCCTGGACTCGATTCTCTGCCTGATGAATTAAAAGGCTTTCAGAATTCGAATTTGGTTTTCAGAGAGAAAGAAGTTTGGGTCAATTTTCTATGTATTTTAAAATGAAAGAATAAACCTGAGTTTTATACAACGGAGCAACATAGCTGGAAAATGAAAAAAATCAAAAACACACTAAACCGACATTAACCAAAAATGACCAAACCAGGTAACCCAAACCAGCAAGATTGCTCTCCTTGATACTCCCCCTCAAGATGGGAGGTATAAATGGTGAACTCCCATCTTGGAAAAAAGAGAACGAAACTGGTCAGTAGGCAATGGCTTAGTGAGCAAATCTGCCAACTGGGTCTTGCTGGAAACGTGTAAAGGTTTAATGTATCCCGCCTTCAATTGCTCCCGAATATAGTGGCAATCCAATTCGATATGTTTAGTTCGTTCGTGATAAACCGGATTACTCGCAATGTGAATAGCCGATTGACTATCACAAAACAGAGAAATCGATTGAGGAAACGAAATAAACAGATCACGTAGCAAGGAACCAAGCCAAACTAATTCACAGCAAGATTGCGCCATAGAACGATACTCCGCTTCAGCTGAACTTCGAGAAATTGTGACCTGTTTCTTAACCTTCCAGGAGATAAGCGACTGGCCAAGAAAGACACAATATCCAGTAACCGACCTTCGAGAATCGGGACAAGTTGCCCAATCAGCGTCACAAAATGCACTAAGAATCACAGACTGATCAGAAGAATATAACAGTCCTTGTGCGGGATCCTGCTTCAAATACCGTAAGACACGCATCGCAGCTTGCATATGATCAGTTCTAGGAGAAGCCATGTATTGACTTAATTTGTTTACTGAAAAACCTATGTCTGGCCTGGTAGCAGCAAGGTAAATCAACTTGCCAACAAGCTTCCTGTATGTAGAAGGATCAGATAACAACTCACCAGATTCCATAGACAGTTTCAGGTTCACCTCCATAGGAGTTGTAGAAGGCTTACAACCAAGCATGCCATATTCATCTAATAACTCCAATGTATATTTGCGTTGGCAAACATAAATCCCTGATTTAGACCTTGCAATTTCCAGACCAAGAAAATACTTCATGTCTCCCAAATCACGAATCAGAAAACTGGAATGCAAAACAGATTTCAAGTCTTGCACCAAAACAGAGTCATTCCCAACAATCATGATATCATCCACATATACCAAAGCTGCTACAAATTTGTTGGCCATACGCTTGGTAAACAAAGAGTTATCAGCTTGAGATTGATGATAACCAGCAGACAACAGAACTTGACAGAGCTTCTGATTCCACTGCCTAGAAGCCTGTTTAAGACCATAAAGAGATTTATTCAATCGACAAACAGAACTTGACTCAATCTTCTCCCCCTTGAGTTCAGCATATCCTTGAGGCAAAGTCATATAAATTTCTTCATCTAAGTCACCATTGAGAAATTCATTGGAAACATCAAGTTGCTGAATGATCCAATTATGAGACGCAGCCAAAGCCAACATAACTCTAACGGTAGTCATCTTAGCTACCGGACTAAATGTATCCAAATAATCAACTCCCTCTTGTTGAGTATAGCCCTTAGCAACCAATCTAGCTTTGTGCCTTTCCACAGATCCATCAGGATTGAACTTGGTTTTAAAAACCCATTTACACCCAACAGCATGTTTTCCTGATGGCAGAGAACAAACAGACCAAGTTCCTGTTCTAGCAAGCGCATCAAGCTCAAGAATCATAGCCTTCCTCCAGTGATCATGTTTTACAGCCTGTGAGAATGTTTTTGGGTCTTGGGTGGTGGTAATATTAAGAACAAAGGCTCTGTAGGTTGGCTCAAGTTTATCATAAGAAAGGAAAGAAGATAAGGGATAAGGAGTAGTAATAGATTTGGGCTGTAAAGAAGAAACAGGGGTATGAGACAAAAGATAACAGTGATAATCTGTGAGATAAGATGGTGTAACTGTCCTTCTGTTAGATCTACGAATATGGTCTGATGTAACATGTTGTTCAACCACAGAAGAAGACTCATTAACCGGATCAGTGGAAGAAGAAGAAACTGAAGCCCGAGAAGATGTAGGAACTTCAGAAAAATCATCATACAAATGATAAGGAGAAACAGAACCAAAAAAATCCAAAGAAGAAGATGAAGAAAGTCCTGATGATGTAATAGACTTAAAAGGAAAAATTGTCTCATGGAAAACCACATGTCTGGAAACAGAAATGACATTGGTTTCAAGATTCAAGACCTTATAACCCTTAAAACCAGAAGGATAACCGAGGAATACGCATGGAACAGCCCTTGGACTAAACTTATGGCGATCGTGAACATGAGTAGAAACATAACAAAGACAACCAAACACCTTGAGATGATTGTAATCCGGAGAAACATGAAGCAAAGTTTCAAAAGGAGTCTTATTCTTCAAAACAGGGGTCGGGGTTCGATTAATAAGAAACACAGCTGTTAAAACACAATCACCCCAATGTTGCAAAGGCACATTCGATTGGAAAAACAAAGCACGAGCTACATTCAACAAATGCTGATGTTTTCTTTCAACCACAGAGTTTTGTTGTGGTGTATAAGGGCAAGATCTATAATGAAAAATGCCTTTTTGAGTCAAAAAATCCGAAAAATTAAGTTCTGGAGCATTATCAGTTCTAATAGCTTTAATAGAAACACCAAACTGATTGTGTATCATAGAAAAAAATTCAGGAAATTTTGTTGAAACATCAGACTTGTGTTTGAGCAAATAAATCCATGTAACTCTTGAATGATCATCAACAATAGTAAGGAAATATCTAAAACCATCCACTGTAGGGGTATGAAAAGGACCCCAAATATCCAAGTGTAACAAATCAAAAGAAGAAGAAGACAAATTGTTTGGAAAAGGAAATGACAAATGCTTTTGTTTAGCCAAAGGACAAACATCACAATGTGAATCAGAGTCTTTGTTATGTGAAAAAGTAATCTGTGAAGAATTGCCTAAAGCTTGAATCCGAAAATGAGAGAGATGTCCCATGCGAAAATGCCAAAGATCAACTGTGGAAGTGGCAAGAGCAGAACTGGAAGGAAAAGGAATGGATGACTGAAGAGAAGGAGGACGTTGCATCTCCAAGACATAAAGATTATGCAACTGTCTACCCTTGCCAATTGTCAAGCCCCGAATATGGTCCTGAATTATATATGAATCATGAGTAAAAGAAACAGAAAGAGAAGTATTATGAGTAAGAGAACTGACACTAATCAGATTAAAGGAGAAGGTGGGAATGAAAAGAACATTATCCAGGACCAAGAACTCAGAAATAAAGACAGAACCAGCAAGAGAAACAGAAACAACATCACCAGTGGGCAGAGTTATCGAAACTGTAGGAACAACATGTAAATCAGAAAACAAATTCCTATCACAACAAATATGACAGCTAGCACCAGAATCCAAAATCCATATCACTGAGGGAAAATAAAGTCCAGGTTGCAAAGAAGAAAGGATGTAATGAGAAGTACCTGGAGCTAAAGAAGGAGTAGGATTAGCTGTAAAACCTGATGCACCAGAAGACGGAGTCTGATTCGAGAACTGATTTGCATACTGAGACAGAAGTTCCTGAGCCTGCTCCAACGGATTCTTCATTGAAAAAGAGTTAACCATGCCTCCACCAGGGGGAAAAAGTCTGACCAGACTGAACACCAGAAGAATTGACCATATTCACAGGTCTAGGAAACCGATCAAAAGATTGATTCCTTGGTATTGAATAATTAGATCTAGCAGAGTTCCAAGGCTTCTAGGTAGATGATGGCGGTTTATAACCAGGAGGAAAACCATGAATGTAATAACACCGAGCTACTGTATGACCAGTCATGCCACAGTGAGTGCACACTGGACGAGGTTTATCAGATAGAGGAGGACGAGGTTTATGATGGGGTGGATGAAATGAAGGTCGACCACCAAAAGGACCAAAAGAATTAGGTTCAAAGGATGGTTTGGCTAGAAAAACAGCTTGGTCAGAGACAGAAGGTAAAGATAAACGTTGTTGATCCTCTTGAGAAACAAGGTTATATGCTCGGGTAAGATCAGGCAACGGATCCATCATCATTATCTGCCTTCGAACCGGTGTGTAGGAATCATTTAACTGCATCAGAAACTTCACAACATTCCGACGATCATAGATCTCAATCCACTGCTCAGGAATCTTACAAGAACAACCACCACATGTACAACCTCCACACTTACAACCACCACAAGTGCAAATCGGATGTGGTTCATAATTTCGCAGTTCTTCCCAAAGTAAATTCAGCTTAGTATAATATGTATTCAAATCCATTGATCCTTGATGTAAGGTATCAATAAGTTTTTGAATATTATAAAGCTTTGAAACATTACTCTGTTTAAATCTCTTTTCCAAATGAAGTCAAGCCATGTGCGCATCATCAATATAAGCCAGAAGACTAGCAATATCAGGACTAACAGCATTAGTGATCCAGGTAAATACCATATCATTCGCGCGCGACCACAAATCAGCATCCGGATGATTCAGAGGCGGCTTCGGTACAGTTCCAAAGATGAAACCGACCTTGTTCTTCGCATTCAATGCCTTCACAAAAGCTCGAGCCCAAACGCCATAGTTTGATTCTCCACGAAGACGATCCGAGACAAGCTGAAAATTCATTTAATCGGCAGCATGAAGGAATAACGGATTAGAATATGGATCTGAAATCGATGGTGAAGAAGATCTGATGTCTGATGCAGCTGAAGCATCAGAAACAGATGAAACCGGAGGAATCAATGTAGAATCCATTGAAGAACAATGAAAAAAGAAATCAACAGAACAAATCAAAGATAGGGAAGCTTCCTTTGCTCTGATACCATTTCAGAATTCGAATTTGGTTTTCAGAGAGAAAGAAGTTTGGGTCAATTTTCTGTGTATTTTAAAATGAAAGAATAAACCTGAGTTTTATACAACGGAGCAACATAGCGGGAAAATGAAAAAAATCAAAAACACACTAAACCGGCATTAACCAAAAATGACCAAACCAGGTAACCCAAACCAGCAAGATTGCTCTCCTTGATAAAGGCTATACAGGCAGGCACGCCGCTAAACTCGACACATGATCGAACCCGAAGCTCTCTTCCTTGGCGTGCTTTCTGATATCCTCGAACCTGCCATGAGACTCCGATATGGAGGAGACGTAGCCATGGAAGTCGTATCTGGTGAGCTCCTAGCCCACGAGCATAGTCGATGCAACCGGCGCGAAATCCGACGGAGCCACCAACCGACCCAGGAGGCATCGGAACCATAGACGCCGGACTTCCCACCATGAGGATTGTTGAGGATCGAGGACAGGCTCTGAATACTCGCATCTGAGATGGATTTGGATGACGATGACCACGAAAGAGAAGACGGCGAGGAGTGGCCATGATCGGAGCTTGATCGGTGAGTGTTGCTGCTGCTGATGGACCTTCCCGATTGGGAAGGCTGAGAATCCATAAGGCCTCAGGATAATTTTCTCGGGAAAATCCAATCGATTTACAAGAAGTTTCAGAGAGATGAAATCCAAATTTGAGATTTTGGAATCGGAATTGTTACTTGCGACGGGAAACGGTCAGGGCCTGGTTGCGGATGGAAGGCGGTGTCAGATCGACGGCAGATTCGGTATCCACGTCAGCTAGTAGGATAATCTAACGGCCATTAACGGTTGGAATTGGAAATAAACATTAGTGGGATTTCTTTGTAAACTTTTTCTTAAATAGACCTATGATGATATTAATTAGTGGTGAGTACTTTCTTTTCTTTTAATTGGGTTTGATCTTATAATTCATTAGTACTAACACATACATACATACATACATACATGCATGCATTCATACATACATACAAAAGTAACGAATTAAGAATATAGCGTAGTCGAAAATCATTCTATATATGCGTAAAGATCAAAACTTTTATGTATCGATACGACAATCTGCTCCAAATGTGCGTGTGTATATATATATACAAAAACCCTCTAAGAAACAAGTTATGAATAGAGCATAGTCGAAGTTAACCGGTCTTGTTCGAACCGGTAATAAGCTCGTCTAGTTCTGAGGAACAACACGACACTGGAAGCTAAGCCAAGAACCGACAGGATTCCCCACCACACGAACGTAGGGAGATAGCATTCTCGCCCCATGCACACGACCGAATCCAAAGTCACGGCCTTTACCTTCAACCCGCCATGGGAATCATAGACCAATGCTGCCAAGAAACCATAGACCAGTGAACCTACCGGTATGTTCGTGATGAGGATGTTGTGGTTTACTCCCACGCAGTTTGGTCCGAACAGCTCTGACGTGATCGAGACCGCTGCGGCGAATATGAATCCCGAGCTCAGACCCATCAGGGCTGTTCCTGCTTGTAAGGCTGATGCTTGTCCTGATGAAGCCAGCAGGAAAAGGGCCACCGGTGTTGGTAAGAGGGCAATGGCCAGCCATCCGGTTCTCGCGAAATATACCTTCCTGCACAAAAATGTTGCATCACATTCTAACCAGGAGGCCCTATATCCGATTTGGGCAAGAAGGCAGTTCTGTTTAACTCATTCGGTTTCTAAGCCCGAATGATCTAAGAATATATGGACCAATCAAAAGAAAGCCGAGCTAAGATATTCTGAGATTATCGAGCAATGAAAGAAAACACTTACGCTCGGATATAATCTGGTGTTGCTGAGAGCAATCGGCCGAAGAATGAGAAAGATGAATACAGAGTGACAAGAGTGGTGATGTTCGAGCTCTGTCCCAAGGATTGTGCAATCTGTCCCAGGTTATTGCTGTAAACGAGCCCGATCGTTCCACCGCAGAAATACACAATATAGTACAGCCAGAAATCCAACTGGCGAACGAGCAGACCCAGAGGATGTTCTTCTCCAAGCATTTCCAGCTGGTCTTTTGCAATGATCTTCCAGAAACAACCCTCTTCAGCTTCATCCATGCTCTTCTGAGCCACGACCGTGTTCGGAACTCTTTCATCGTTCAGCAACCGGTAGTCCTCGAGGCTGGATTCACGAGTCACCATTCCTTTATGGACCTGCAGCTCATCAACGTCGACCAGAACGAACCCAGAACCTTCGAGACGGAAGCTGGAGTGAATGGTGCGAAGAAACCAAGACCGGGCATATACAAGACCAGGGATACACAAAGGGAAAACCAGTAGGAAAATGGCTCCACCAAAGAGAAGACGAGAAGTGGCAACATCAGAGGCATTAGAGCCAAAGAGAAGGAGATAAACCCCGTTCAAGATGGCTATGGCATTCAGCAATAGAAACATGAGAGAATCACGTCTAACTCCATCAGGGGGAAGAGGCTCAAGAGGTGGTTGCCTTAGAATCGGGACAAGGGCAATGAAGGAGACAAGGAGAGGGACAAGGGCATTCAAGAGAAGGTAGAGTTGAGTCGAGGAAGGATCAATGGCGTTGTAAGCAAGAGTGTATAAAGCTGCACTGACGCCATTGAAGCTCACAGTGAGGGACAGAGCAAGTGCTCTGTTGGAAGGGAAGTTTCTGATACAGAGGACAAAGCAGACTGTGTTGAACCAACATATGCTCAAACCCGCTAACAAGCAGCACAAGAACACCTGCCACGTCATCAATCAACAATATGACATTTATTTTCAGATTTCCTATAATCAACACCTAATTTTACATTCATTTTCAATACAAAAATCTATAATATATATATATATATGTATGTAATTTTACACTAATATTCTCTATATCACCAATATGTATGTATAGAATATTCCATATGTAGCCGATATATATATATACACACACGCTCCTAGAATATTTTCTATATATTATATATGGCTATATATATATATATATATATATCAGAACCATCGGATGTGTCTCACTTAACAGCCAAACAGACAAGTGGCAGGTAAAGTTCCAACCAATCTTCGTTTTCGTCCCATTTGCAAATAAAAACACATATATTTTCATTATAAAATAAAAATACAAAATTCGCTATGACGTAAATAAAATAATACATATATACACGTCTGTGTATCGATTGCGGCAGACACAGTTAGATTCGGTATGGTTCAAGGAGAGGATGGAAGCCAAACCCATCCCCATAAGAAGCACGTGGATGGTCGTATATGGACGAACAAAGAGTCTGTGTGATCGTTATTTCATTTTATTTTATAATTTAGTTTCCAAAAAAGAAGGAAAAAATGATACAGTTGAATAAATTTTAATTTTTAAAAAATCTACTGGTGGGCTTTAAAATATTTCCAACATTTATTAGTCACCAGTCTCTTTGTTTATGAACATGAGGCACTTTTCGAAATTCTAAAATATAGGAGTCTTAATTGTCTCGGAAAATTCTAAGATTACATATTCTTGGCTTAAAAAACGTGATTAATTAGTATTTTCATCACAGATACATGTGATAATTGCGTCCTTAAACATATCGAAATTACTATGCCAACAATCCGATCATCATAATTTTTTTAAGTAAAAAAATATCTAGAGTCCACAAATATTTTGAATTTTTGGAAATATTTCAGAGAATTGTTTAAGATGAGTGTTTGTTTTAGGAGTTCAAGTTTCAAATTTCAATTGTCTTCCCACTCACTGGGAAAAACAAAATAATATACTATTCGAAAATGAAATTGGAAAAAAAAAACTTACGACGATGTAAGGCAAGGAGATGAGATCGTTGATGACGAGCCATTGAACGCCATAGCCGACGAATCCCATTAGCGCCGCCGCGAAGAGCACAGCCCAGAGCGGGAAGTACAAGAGAGCGAGGCCGGACGACCATCCAAACACCTTTCCGAGATCGGAAGCGACTGCGAGGCAATTCAGCTGGACCTGCGAAATCCCTAGAACCGATTTCAAATCCGACGAGTACGCCGAGAAATCGAAGTTCGTCCCCGTGAACGCCTGAATCCAGATCGTCGCCACCAGAATCATCCATTTCCTCGACTGCCCAGCCATCTCCTCCTCCTCCTCCTCCCGATTCTGAAATTCTCCGATCGCTTCTCTGGGATTTCTCTCTTTCCTCCACCAGGGGGAAAAAGTCTGACCAGACTGAACACCAGAAGAATTGACCATATTCACAGGTCTAGGAAACCGATCAAAAGATTGATTCCTTGGTATTGAATAATTAGATCTAGCAGAGTTCCAAGGCTTCTAGGTAGATGATGGCGGTTTATAACCAGGAGGAAAACCATGAATGTAATAACACCGAGCTACTGTATGACCAGTCATGCCACAGTGAGTGCACACTGGACGAGGTTTATCAGATAGAGGAGGACGAGGTTTATGATGGGGTGGATGAAATGAAGGTCGACCACCAAAAGGACCAAAAGAATTAGGTTCAAAGGATGGTTTGGCTAGAAAAACAGCTTGGTCAGAGACAGAAGGTAAAGATAAACGTTGTTGATCCTCTTGAGAAACAAGGTTATATGCTCGGGTAAGATCAGGCAACGCTTTCCCTTTTCTATGGTAGAGAGAAATCGCTGTGTTCCTGTATATGAGTTTATTATGTGACTGGAGTGATTTCAAACGGAAAAAAAGGCACAAATATGAGTTATTGTTGTGATTGGACCACGTGTCAGCCTTCTGGTACAGCAAAGATTTACCGTAAATAATATATGGTTTACATGATTATCAAATTTCCTCTTATTATTATACAATATGATGCTATTATCCTAGTTCTTGGACTAGTTTTTGTTTGGTTGTCAAATTTTTTTTGTCATTTAAAATTTGTTTCTTCTTATTTTATTTTTATAATTTAATATTAAATTCGAAAATTTTACTAGTTAATTAATTGTATGTGTTAAAATTCGGTTTTGTGTGGTTTGGTTACGAGTATATTATAGATACTTTTCGTGAACAAAAATCATGACACACAGATGGATTTTATTATATTTAAAGACTGACCAAATATGCTATTTATATGATTGTTATCGGTTATAATAAACTCCTCATCCTCCCTTATCATAATATGTAAATTCGATCTTTTAGGTGCTAAATTTATAAAATCGTTAATATATTATATTATCGGATATATATATATTGTGGCGAAACTAAAAAAATTTGTTACTAGGGGTAAAAAATGCAAACATTACGAAACCATTTTAAAAATACAATTACATTTTTATTAAAAATTTTATAAAATTTATAAATATCTTTTTTATTATTATTATTATGGGACATTGGACCCTATTGGATTGTCGCTTTACGACTTTCCGGCTCTATACAATGATAAGATAATAATATTTATTTATTTGTAGCATGAATAGAAATATGCAACAAAACTGCCACATTAATTACACTACTATGAGGAAAGAATTCCCATCAATTAAAAAAAGAAAGATAGATAATCGTGTTGCATTTATCCTGCTTCGAGATTAGCAACACATTATCTTTATGGAAACATATTTATATGCTTTATTATTTTTTATGTCTATTACAACCAAATTTGTAATAATCAATTTGTATTTTTTAAAATACCACAATAAATTTATCCATTGTTAGAAAATACAAAATATTTTTTTTACTTCTCTCGTGGTTTTCTGCAATTAGTTAATAAATATATTATATGTTATACCAAAGTTCATTATTCCAATCATATACGCCAATTAATTATTTTTCATAGGGCCCTTTCATTTTATTGGTATATGGTCCCATTTATTTCCACGTGAATCTAAAACTAAACGTATAATTCAAAATGCTAATAATTGTTTGGGTTCAAATATATATATATATATATTTAATGAAAAGGTAGTTTATGTTGTCATTCCATAAAGTTTATTTCCTAGATATTCGTCACCACCCTCTCATATTAAAACACGTATTAACAATATACTTTGGTTGGGCTGTGTGAATCACTATCACGGGCTTTAAGTAAATGGGCCTTCTTATTCATCAGCCCATTTAAGGCCCAATGAGACCCCTCTCTCTGGGCAAAACCTATATACCTCCGCGCGTCACATTTCACGCGCCACCGAACTCAGTGGCATCATCGGCGGCAATTCACGTTGAATTTACTAGGGTTGGATGTTTCGGGAATCGGTTCGGGTTCGGTACGAAAATGCATCGGTTTTTTCGGTTTTACAAAAATAGATACCGTTCGGTTTTTACATTAAGTTCGGTTCGATTTTGGTTATTATTAAAAAAAAGATAGTTTTCCTATAAAAAAAATTCCGTTTTTTTGGGATTTTTTAAAATTTGATTCGATTCCGTAAAATTCGGTTTTCTAAAATAATACCGATCAAAAATTTAGAACGGTTCGGATCAAGAAAAAATATCGTATTTTTCGAAACTCCCACCCCTTAAAATTGACTCTAGTTGTTATTTGTTGATCGATTTTTAAGGAGAATTATCGGCTAATGGAAATCAAACCATAAATCCCCATTACAAAACCATCAAAGCGGTAACTTCAAACACAGATTAACCCAAAAAAAAAGCTTCAAACACAGTTTCTTGAATTCAGATTGCAGACAAAGAACTAGGGAGAGAATCCACTAGATGAAACAGAGGATCTGTAATGAATGGGACTATCCGACAAAGGGAGAGTTGATGACGGGACCGTTAGGGCAGTTGTCGGCGGGGACGTAGAGAAGAACACGGTTGCAGCACATGACTTCGGGCAGATAGAACAGTCCTTCTGGGTATATAAAGGCGACAACTTTAGGGTTTTCTCTCTCTATGATCATCTTCGCTTCCACTCCACTCACCCCTCTCAGCTCTGGCCATTCCACCTTCAACCCTTCATACCATCATTTCATAGATTGCGACCCGTCAAACAAATTTAGGGTTTTCTTTTTCACGAACTCCACATCATTTCAAATGTATACATATGTATATATGCAACGATACATATAGGTTGTCAAAACGAGTTGAGTTGTTACCGATTTGTTTTTTTAGCGATTCAACTCGTTAGAGCTCGCGGCTCGTTTTTTTTAAATAAAAAATATATGTTTTTATTTGTATTTTTATTTATTGTACAGAAAATCAATACTCGATTAATTTTTTATTGATTATATATATATATAATTTGTTTCATATATTAAGTTTGATATTTTAATATTTAGATTTCATATCAAAATATCATTTTATTTGGTATTTTTTATAATATAAATAAAAAATATTGTATTTGTTTTCATTTCGCGAACCGACTCATTTAACTCATAAAATTAACGAATCGAGTTGGTTCAAAAAAAATTTTCAACTCGTTTAAAAACGAATCTGGTTAGTCAAACTCAAATCAAAATGAACCAACTCGTCACGAGTCAAACCATCGTTTGACATATCTATTAATAATACATATGTAATCGAGAGTAGAAGTTTTATTTTTATTTTTACCTGGGAACATTTCACTGCATCGTCTTCCTGTGCAGTCACACAAATCACACTTGGGGCCAAGAACGGGGCATTTAGAATTCATCGTGGCCAAGTTTTCCCCGAAACTAAAATAAAATAAAAATATTGATATTTATTTTTTATGATGTTTTTTTTTTTCGTTTTCAATCCGGTAAATTTATAGGATTAGGGCGTGGTGCTTTTTTAAGGGAAGATTATATGTGATTAGGATAATCATGCCAAGGATGAAGGAATCTCATAGATGCAATGGCAAATTCATTGCATATATCAACATATTTATAAAAGGGAAGTGAATCCGATATATATCATAATATTATTTTATTTTAGGAAACCTATATTTCCTAGTGTGGAAATTAGCTAGCCCTAAAAAAATGTGAATAAAATTTAAATGATTTTTTCCCTTTTTGTTCCTTGAGTGCTAACGATATATAAGTTTTTTGTCTGTTTAATTGCGATTAAAAAAAATCTGAAAAAATGTTATTGGAGTATCAACGAGTACAATTCGGCAGACAATTTGTAATTATTTTTATTATACAAATTCATATTAATGAATATCCAAACATGGTGGACGTTTGGAAGTTGCCATAATTTGGAGAATATTTACACCTAAATCTTGCATGAAAATCAATCCACGTCAGCCTAAACTTACCATAAGTATACGTGGAAGTCCGAGGCCTATTTGTCTCTAAACCCAAAACACGAATGTTTTGGGCTCTTCAGCCTATTTTCCATGCTTCATGGATTTACAGAGCTTCTCATAAAAGTCAAATTTTAGATTGTGTTATTGGAATCTTTAACTGTAACCTTATCTGTATACTTTTAAAATATCCAATCATGCATGAATTGGAATAACAATGATCTGAATAATTCCGACAAAAATTAAATTCGCATAATCATTTGGACTAAACCAATGTATTATGTATGCGTTATTTTATGGTTTTATATATTTTGATTGTGTTGTGCAATCATGTGATTAGCCTAACTGGTTCTGCAAATGATCTCGGACAACCCACATGGAATGTTCCTACTGACACGTTTTTTATTTTTCACTTCCAACTAACACAATTTAACGTAATAACAATAATAATAATAATAGTGATGATGATGATGATGATAAGTTCTGTATATATTTTTCAAAAACACAGAATCCAACATATTTTCTATTATACTCCTCCATTCTATATATATATATGTTGTTAAATAAATATAGTTTTAGATTTTTTAAGTGATTTAAAAAAAATCTAATTTTACACTTAATTAAACATATCTAACTAATAGAAATTAATGTGGTTTAATTAGGTATATCCGACTTTTTTTTATATATTTTTTTAAAATTATAAAAAAAATTAAAATGATATTTATTTAGGGAAATTGAATTATTTTTATGTGAATCTAAATTTCTGTTTATTTTCTTTTAACAATACTACCTTTTCCATTTATTATAAATTTATAACCGAGGTATGACAGGTCAGCACGAAGATGTATAAAAGGACACATATGACATATGACATCTCTTTTTCACCAGTTGATTCACTTTTATAGTACCAGTGATGAATTGGCACGACAAGTTGACCTCATACGTATTATTTTTATATACGTCATAGGTTATATATATATATATTACTATTCCAAATTTAAAAAATATGTGTCACTATACAATATTAATATGGTACAATTTCTTTTTCTGTAACATTATATAATTATAACCATTCGACAAGTTGCACCATATAGGTTATATGGTCATGGGATTATGTATCATACTTATTGTGGAACATCCATATCTAAAAAAATATTATACGTTAAACCTTATAAGTTCAACCAACTGCTTACAGGTATATATATATATATATATATATATATATATTTCCTGTCTGCCCTTCGTATCCAAATTAACCTCAAAAAGCAAATTCATTTATTTGATATTATACGATTCTCTATAACCAACACGTCAAATATAGAACCATCCTTTTCATGGCCAAAACCACACACACATATGCATACGTAATATATATATATCGACCCGTC